GCGACTAAGTAGGCCGTTAGGCTCATCGAAGCCGTCAACTTTGAGACCGACGAGGCTCTGTTGACTGGCGAATCCCTCCCCGTTCGCAAGAATGAGGATGCCACCTTCCCCGACAACACTGGTCCTGGCGATCGCCTGAACGTCGCGTACAGCTCGTCGAATGTCACCAAGGGCCGCGCCAAGGGAATCGTCTTCGCTACCGGCGTCTACACCGAGATCGGCGCCATCGCGTCTGCGTTGCGCAAGAAGGATTCCAAGGTTCGCGAGGTCAAGCGAAAGCCTGATGGCCACGCTGGTCCCCACCGATACCTCGAGGCGTACACCCTGACATTGACTGATGCCGTTGGCCGATTCCTGGGCGTCAACGTAGGCACACCCCTTCAGAAGAAGCTGTCCAAGTTGGCTATGCTTCTCTTTGGTATCGCGATCGTCTGTGCTATCATCGTCTTGGGCGCGAACAAGTTCGAGGCGAAGCAGGAGGTCATCATCTACGCCGTCGCCACGGGTCTGTCCATGATTCCGGCTAGTTTGGTGGTCGTGCTTACGATCACAATGGCCGCCGGCACGAAGCGCATGGTCGAGCGCAACGTCATCGTACGTAACCTCAAGTCCCTCGAAGCTCTCGGCGCCGTGACGGATATTTGCTCCGACAAGACCGGTACCCTCACACAAGGCAAGATGTTGGCTCGTGGTGCGTGGCTCCCTGGGATGGGAACATACACCGTCGAGAACTCGTCGACGCCTACGGACCCCACCGTTGGTGATATTCGCTTCGACGAACGTTCCCCCAGACACTTGGACTTCAAGAAGGGAGGCGACGCATGCGGTACCATCCTCGAGACACAGCAGCTATTGCAGAACAGCAAGTCTGGCCTGGCTGCCTTCCTCCACGTCGCTTCTCTCGCCAACCTCGCTACAATCAGCAAGAAGGACGATCAATGGCATGCCCGTGGTGACCCTACCGAGATTGCTATCCAGGTGTTCGCCTCTCGTTTCGACTGGAACCGTTTGCGCCTCACCACTGGCGACAGCCCCGAGTGGAGCGAGATTGCCGAGCTGCCCTTCGACTCCGACGTGAAGCGCATGTCCGTCATCATGAAGCACAACACCACCGGTGAATACTTTGCCTACACCAAGGGTGCCGTCGAGCGCGTCATCCAGACCTGCACCAAGTACACCCCTCAGGACTCGGGCGAACTCGTCGACATGACTGCCGAATTCCGCGAGGAGATCCTCCGCAACATGGAAGCTCTTGCTAGTCTCGGTCTCCGCGTGCTTGCTCTTGCCAGCAAGCCGTACAACGGAAAGCCGAACAAGGGAGACGAGGTCGAGCGCTCCTCCGTGGAATGCGATTTGGTCTTCCGTGGGTTGATCGGCCTGTACGACCCTCCCCGTCCCGAGTCCGCCCCGGCCGTTCGCCAGTGTCACGAGGCCGGTATCTCGGTTCACATGCTCACCGGTGACCATCCCGAGACTGCCAAGGCTATCGCTATCGAAGTTGGAATTCTGCCGTCCCGTATGGAGCGTGTAGCGAGGAACGTTGCCGACGCGATGGTCATGACCGCCTCTGAATTCGACGCTCTCAGTGACGACGACGTCGACAAGCTTCCGGTGCTTCCCCTGGTCATCGCACGTTGCGCTCCCAGCACCAAGGTTCGCATGATCGAGGCTCTTCATCGTCGCAAGAAGTTTTGCGCCATGGTAAGTCCCTGCTTCCTAGGACAGGTGTTTTCCAGCTATCTAACGAACCACAGACCGGTGACGGTGTCAACGACTCCCCTTCCCTGCGTCGCGCCGACGTCGGTATCGCCATGGGACAATCCGGGTCCGACGTAGCCAAGGACGCTTCCGATATCGTCCTCACCGATGACAACTTTGCCTCCATCGTCTCTGCCATCGAAGAAGGCCGCCGCATCTTCGACAACATTCAAAAGTTCGTCCTCCACGTCCTGGCTGAGAACATCGCCCAGGCCGGCACACTCCTGGTCGGTCTTGCATTCAAGGATGCCCGAGGCCTCTCCGTCTTCCCCCTCGCCCCCGTCGAAATCGTCTGGATTATTATGGCTACCTCGGGCATGCCCGACATGGGACTTGGCTTCGAGCGCGCTGTACCCGACATCATGCGCCGACCTCCTCAATCACTCAAGACAGGTATTTTCACCATGGAATTCCTGGTCGACATGGTGGTCTATGGTTTGTGGATTGCCGCCCTCTGCCTGTGCAGTTTCGTCTTGGTTGTTCACGGATTTGGTGGGGGCCAGCTGGGTGAAGGGTGCAACGAGACGTACAGCGAGTCTTGTGACGTGGTCTTCCGCGCTAGGGCAACAACCTTTGCCTGTCTGACTTGGTTCGCCCTGTTCCTCGCCTGGGAGATGATTGACATGCGCCGCTCCTTCTTCCGCATGCAGCCCGGGTCCAAGAAGTATTTCACCCAGTGGATGTACGACGTCTGGCGCAACCGCTTCCTCTTCTGGGCAATCATGCTCGGCTTCGTCACCCTCTTCCCCCTGCTGTACATCCCGGTCATCAACACCGTCGTCTTCAAGCACAAGGGAATTTCGTGGGAGTGGGCCATCGTCTTCATCGCGGCGGGACTCTTCTTCGCCGGCGTTGAGGCCTGGAAGTGGGGCAAGCGGGTTTACTTCCGCCAGAAGAACAAGAAGGCTCACGGCGTCGCCTGGAAGGACATGGACATTGAGCAGAGGGTGTTTGGGGAGTACCTTGGTAGCTCTTCCGACGATAACAGGACTGAGATTGGTGATGATGATCACTTTGCTGAGAAGGAAGGCTTGGAGAAGGTTTAGGGGGCTGAGGGAGCGTTGACGGAGGTTTAGAGTTGGCTCGAGATGTTTTTTGGCCAATGGTTGTAGCACGCAATATAATATCAGAGAGTATTTCCTCCGCACTTGATATTCCAGCGATGAATCCTGCTTCAGTGATGCCGAGACGATGTTTAGAGACTCATGCGGAAGGGGAGCGTTAGGCTGTGGGTAACACCATTTTGTGTGGCTGTTGCTTCGCCGTTGAAACCTTCATTCCGAATTGAGTGTATGAGGCAAGATAAACTTCGCAGCTACTTCAATATATTGGGAGCCATTTTGATAAGCAAAGCGTCATCAACATGAATCCTTTCAGCCTATATTGGTTCTTTTTGGCCGTTGAGAACTCAGACGAGCTCTGATAATTGGAACTTAGAAAGGCGATATGCTTGAAAGATAAACGATGGCGCCACGCCGTCGGTTTTGGTTCGCCGTTGAGATGCCACATTTGCAGCACAAGTATTGCTCGTTCTTCTGTCTCAAGTTGTAATAAAGTCGTGGGGCCTGGATCGTCTTCAATATGAAAGAAGATCTACGATCAATCAAGCCTACCTAACTTCCTCAACCTCCAGATACTGCTTGCATCTCCCTCCTTCCTCGACTTTAAGGCTCTCGAGATCCCATTGAGAACAATGATGAACCACCGCAAGGTTTCGGCCTTCTTGGTCGCTCTAGCCTCTCTCGGTCCCGCTAATGCCATGTTTGGGTTCGACACGGCCGGGGTCGATGAGCCGATCGACGTCAAGGACCGGTATATCGTCACTTTCTCGCCCAACATATCGGAGGCGGGTATCAAATCCCACTTGGGCTGGGTGGACACGATGCACGCGCGCAGTCTCAATCGTCGGGACACCACCGGCTTCGAGGACAGGCTGGACGTTGGCGACGACTTCCACGCCTACATCGGCCACTACGATGAAGCGACCGTCGAAGAGCTGAGGAACAACCCTGACGTTGGAAACCCTGAATTCCACATAAGCAAAACCCCCCTTAAACTAACTAGTCGTGCTAGGTGGCATACGTCGAAGAGGACAGAGTCGTCTCCATTGCGACAGTCAAGACGCAGGCGAGGGCCGGATGGGCTCTGCACAGCATGGCGAACCGCGGACAGAGCAGAGAAACGCAATACTTATACCACGAGTCTGCCGGAGAGGGCACATACGCGTACGTCATTGACAACGGCATCGACATCAATAACCCCGAGTTCGAAGGCCGGGCGGAGCACGGATATAGCGTGCACGGCAACAAAGTGAGCCACTTCCACGGCACCACAGTGGCCGGCATCATCGGCAGCAAGACATACGGCGTTGCAAAGAAGGGCAACCTTGTGTCCGTCCAGCCTTTCGGCGGTACGGGTGGCAAGATGAGTCAGGTGTTAAAAGCCTTCGAATGGGCGGTCAAGAACGCAACGGAAACTCCAGAGCGAAAGGGGCGCTCGGTGATCAACATGTCTATGTGTAAGACTTTCTCGCCCTGCCACAGCGTGGCTTTTTATGTGCAGATTCAGAATCTAACGGGAGCTCTCAGCGGCTGAGGTGAAAGATAATAATCAGCATGCCATGGCCATGAGCCGCCTCGTGAAGACCGCCGTTGAGCAAGGCGTCCACGTGGTCGTCTGCGCCGGCAACGACAACCAGGACGCCAGAAAGGAAGTGCCCGCCGGCCTCCCGTATGCAATCACCGTCGGCGGCATTACTAAGAACTGGAGATGGTGGCGTCATTCAAACTATGGCCCGGAAGTCGACGTCAGCGCTCCCGCAGAAAACGTGATGACCACTGGGCTCAAGGGCGCAACAGTGCAACAGACCGGAACATCGTTCGCCTCTCCTCATGTCGCCGGCCTCGCCATGTATCTCCTCGGGAAGGAGAGTGCCAGCAACATCACATTGAGCTCACCTGAGGATCTGAAACGTCGCATCGTGGCCATGTCTACCAAGAACAAGATCAAGGGCATGGAGCGTACTACACCGAACAGGATTGCATTCAACGGAGCCGGGCAGTGATTGAACAGTGGGTTATTTGGGTACTGTGCGCTTCACACGCAGCTGGCAAAGACGATGCAACTTGGTGCTTATTAGTCAGAATGATCTGGACAGTCAATTTGATTCTATTGTTACCGCGAGGTCTACAACCGTCTGCTTCTGGATGTGAGACTCGCCATTATTCGCCCACCTGAACAGCTCATACCTTCACCCATGCAATTGCGCCCACGCCCATCTTCCTCGTCTTGCATACCCTAGCCGCGAGGACGCACGTCATGCCGAGAAGGAGACATGTTCCCGCAAACCCTTGGGCGCCAGGGTACTTCCCCCCTTGCGCGTCGATGATCGCACCGGCGATTGGGGATCCTGTCAAGCTTGCGAAACTAACGATGGTGAAGACCATGCCCATCCGCGTGCCTTGCTTTTGAGGATCCGCGGTCAAGCTGCTCAGCACCGCCGGGAATAGCGCCTGCACGCCGCCGACTGCGAAGCCGTAAAACACTGCCCACACGTACAACCCTGTGAGGCTAGCAACGCCCATCCAGCAGTACATGATAGTTCCAGTCATGAAGGCCATCGGGGCGAATATGTTGATTGTGCCAATCATGTCGCCGATCTGGCTCGGTATGATTCTGCCAAAGGCGCCGACGCCGTTGAGAACTAGTAGCAGGTCCAGCGAGTCGGTGAATGAGAGGCCCATGATGTCGCGGGAGAAGGCTGCGAGGTAGTGGAAGGCAAAGTAGATTCCCCAGAAGCACTGTCTACTTATCAGCTTTGGTTGGCGAAAAGGACGCCGTACATCTTACCATGAAAGCTCCGACAGCGTAGAAGCTGTACTCGGACTCTTTGAAGGCGGCCCACTCGACCAGAGGTGCGGCCTGACGAGGAGGTATCCTGGTCTTGATGAGAAGCCCGGCGATGGCCAGAGTGACCAGCTGGATCAAGGCTATTGTTCGCATTGTCCACCCAAGTCCAATCTGGGGCAAGAGCTGCCTGACCATGCTCGGGAATGCCAGGCCGCCTACCGTTGCCCCTGCGGCGGTGATACCGAATGCAAGTGAGCGGCGCTTGGCGAAATACGTCGACGTGACCGCCATGGTTGGGCAGAAGAGACATCCGTTACCGAGACCGAGACAGATTCCCTGCGCGAGAAAGAACTGCCAGTATGTGGTGCAGAACGAGGCGGCAACCATACCGAGCACAACCAGAAAGAATCCGACGATGAACAGGGGCCGGAAGAAACTCATGTCAGTCCAGCGACCGGTGAAGGTGCCGACAAAGAACAGCAGGAAAACCTCGAAGGAACCAATCCATGATACGTCAGATGGCGAACGATCGAACAGAGTTGTGAAGTATGGTTGGAAGACGCCGAAAGAGTTGGCCACGCCCCTAGTATCATCAGTGAGTCTGAGTTCGCAGCAAACTTTCGGATAAGTCTGACCATGTGTTCATCACAACAAGATGAGTGCTCAATACTGTTACCTTGTCAGCTTGGTTGCAGCAGGGAAATCATACCCGGTGGTGGCTGTGACTTACCAACCATCCACGCCCTGAGCCCTCCATCTGGCGGTACATCAACAATAGCATTCGGTCGGGACGCAACCCGGCTGAGTGTTCTATGTGAGGGAACTGTGGTAGCATCTGGCCCGATTTCAACAGGAACGTCACCCGAGACCGCGGACGCGGCACTGGGTGTGCTGTTTGAATGCGACTTTTCCTGCATGATGCGCGAATGGACAGGCCCAGGTGCAGCAGTTGGTGTGCGTGAGGCTCAACTCAAATGATTTCTCAACACAAAACTTTATTTCCCACGATCACAGTCCACAGGAACGCTAAAAGTTTGCAGCTGCAACCTGACCGGGGTCTAGACTGCGGGCGACTCTCGTTGTTGAAGGGGTTCCCCGCATCAAGGTCTTATATTCATTTTCCGATTTCCCGACTTCGGCCCAATTTGGGGCGGGAAGAAACAGGTTCGCCGGAAGCTGCTGTTTTTGGGTCGGAAAAGGCACAGCGGCCCAATTATTTAAGAGTCATGACTCCTGACCGATTGTTTCAATTATTAATGGGATTCCTTAGAAATGTCATTTACAGTGGCGGTCTAGCTCAGCGTGTTCGTGGAAGCTCTACTGGCACGAATGCAGCGGGCATCGGGAGGTAATCGGCCGACCAGGCCTCACCGGAAGTCGGGCCGGAGCCGGATCCGGGGCAAGTCGATCCACCAATTACAGGGGCATCCGTCATTCGTGCCGTCAAAAGAAGCGGAAATGCAACCCCTGATGGGAATATTTTGTGATAAATATCATTTCTTTGCTATGCTATAACTAACAGGCGGTCTATCATTCAGTATGGCTTGATACCGGCAAGCTTTAGCAACTTATCCGTGATCTCAGGCTTCTCAAACGGCTCCGATCGGTACTTTGGGCAAACCTCACCATTCCTCTTTGGTTTGTCCTGCGAAGGGCGGATATTGCTACTTAATGTCAGCTAATGCACGATCGGGAGCTCAACCGAGAAATAAAGGTAAAAACTCACCAATGAGGCCAATGCGTGGTCCCATACCAGTTCTCGAAACAAAACTTCTTCGCCTCAAGGGCCTCGTCCGTCGCGAACTTGCGCGGGGTCATGCAGATGTACTGCACGTGTCTGATCTGGTCGCCCTCCGGGAAGCGGGCGTAGTGCATCGTGCGCGAGTCCCAGAGGACGAAGTCGCCGGGTTCCATGTTGACCTTGAACAGCTCGCAGCCCTTGCTCTCGAACCACTTGACGTCTTTCTCGCTGAAGAGGAAGAGATCCATGAACTTGATCTCCGGGGGCGGGGCGTCTTCGTGGTCGGCGGACTCGCGCTTGTGCGCGAAGAACTCGTCAAAAAGCTTGGCGGAGCCCCTCATGAGCATGAGCCCACCGTCTTTAGGACCGTTGGGGGCAAAGTTGAGGAGGCCCTGAACGGCTTGCATTCTGATATGTGTGAGAGACGTCACTAGGATAGAACATTGGCTCAACTCACCCTTTCCTCTCGGGATTCTGATCGCAATGTGGCCAAGGGCTCCAGGTAATGTCTTTGCGGTTCGGCATAGAGATGTTCATGCCGTCGAATGAAGTGATGAGCTCGTTGGTTTCCCAGAGCTTCTCAAAGACTTCGATAATCTTGGGTTCCATGCGGGCTTCCCATGCCATCTTCTCGTGGGACGCGCCGTATGCAGAGTACATACTGTTCATGAAGTCAGTATCGCGAGTAAGGCTTTTGTGATGTAAACACTCACCCTCCCTTGAAGCTCACAGGGAGATGATCAGCAGTCCATGTCGAAGGGTCCTTGTCGTCAAAACCAAGATCAAACTTCTTCAACCACTCAATCTGCTTATCGCAATAGTACTGTGCTCGTTCTGGGCTGATGACATTCTTGATAACTACACAGCCGTTCTTGTGAAACTCGTCGCGCCAGTCTCCGTAGTGCTTGTCTGAGTCAAATGTGACAAGATCTTTGGTCTCGAATTGAGTGGCGAAGGTCCGCTTGACCTCGGTGTCGGTCACTGTCTGCGTCTCTGTGGCCATGTTTGTGGGGCGAAAGGAAGATGTCCTACGATTGTGCAAGGCTCCAGAAACTCGATGATGGGGTTGTGATGACAATGTCGGAAAGGCGTGACGATCAGCAGTTTGAGCTTTTTTTACTTCGCAGCGAGGCAGACGTCTGTTATAACTTATTAGCCTCCAGCTTCATTTCATTGTCTCTACAAAGGTCTCATGTCGGCCCTCGTGACCATACGTAAGCCCCCGAAAGTAAGTGTCCGTGGTGCCGAGCCCCGTTCGGGGAAGGTCTGGGCCGGGCCGGGTAGTCGGTTCGGTTCGGTTCGGGAGTTGTGGGTATGCAAGAAGCGCGTTGTCGATCCCCCATCCGAGCCAAAGAGGCCGGCATGAAGTCTTTGGAGACTGATGTGATCTCACGCGGGGTAAATAACGGGGACTAGCATAGGAGAACAACGTCGTGTGGTAGCGGAGACTGCCTCCATCGTGCATAGATCTTGCCACATTCCCGGGACGGAAGCGCTTGACGCCACAGCTGGAAAGTAGAACCCTGGTAGCCGAATAAATGGAGTCCCGCCCTTGCAAGATGACCCCTATCGTCTGTCAACTAAGCGCATTTGGAAGATGTTCTACGACCACTCAAGCACAGTAGGAAGCGGCGTAAGGTGGCCATCATGGCCAATTATGGCATTTATCGACTTCTGATCAAATACACGTGGTCTTGCACCATTCAAGATCTTTGCCAGGTGCAGGTCTCCGCAAGTTGACAGTCTAGAAGCAAAGGAGAAAACGATTATAATAGATGAGAGCCGTCGACAAGTTTCGCACCCATGACCGTTGACAGATTTCCCTTAGATGTGGTTTATGTTCGCTCCTCCCAACCACGCTGCTCATCCTCTTCTTCCTGGTAATGCAGCCTTGACAACCCGTATGCGTTGTTGGAAGCCAAGATATAGAGAAGCATCAGAGCCGCGAACGAAGTCCAGATGGCGAGGAAAGTATCGATGATTCCAACGTAAGGCGAGCCCCACCAAACCATTGCCAACGACATCACGGTGGTGATGAAGGCCCAAATTCTTGCAACTAGCCAAAGGGATACTGCGATGAGCAAAAGGATGGCAGCCTAACGAAAAATGAATAAGTTAGTCAAAATATTTCATCTGCAAACCATCCCGTCGTTCGTTTCAACAGAAAGCCTCTCACCTTCTGAACAGGGCTACCCCTAGCCTTTCTCTGTGCCTGGAAAGCATAGATCGTCATGCCGACGGCAGCGATCAGAAGCATGCAGTTAATGCTTGCTGACATGTACTCAGAAGCAAATGACAACCTAATTGCGTTGTCCCAATCTCCTCGCACGTAGCGATCCCTCCCTGGTAGAACCTTGAACATGATCTGAAAGGCGATATAGCAGCAGAACACTGCTACCTCTACGAGAGCAATCAGAGCTGACCCGCCAAATACTAGCTTTCTGCCAACGGAGAAGATCCTGGAGTCATTGGTTGTGGCACTACCATGGAGCTGGGCCAGGGCGTGGGCGAGGAAGAAAAAGGCAAGAAGAAGGGCGACTTGGCCCAGTGTGCCAAGCAGCGAGCCGACAATATAAATGTACGGAGTAGCATCATCTGGGCCAAAATAACCCCTGCCGTTTTGCCGCTGGGAGTACTCGACTGCGTAGATAATCCAGCAGACAAGAATGAGAAGCTGGGATCTTTTGAAAATCGACAAAGTCAGCATCTTATTGACCGAGGGAGGCTACGCCACGCGTGTTCGAGCAGATACCCTATGAGCTTATATGACATGTAGCCCGCGTGTCGAACACTGCGCATTGAAAAAGTTAAAGGAAGACACTCACATGGTCCAGAGTCCTAAGGCAGCTTTGGTGAAGTCAACCCATCGGCGCGTGTGGTCATGCTTGGATCCGAGATTACGAAGCGCAAGAGCAGAGACCCCCAACGCCGGGAGGATCACTAGTCCCGATAGCACACTTCGGACTATGTATCCTGTTATGTACGGTTGCCAGTCCATGTTGAATTTTCTCGCTCAATTCGAATTATGTCGTGGTATATTAAGAATTAAGGGATTATGGTGTTGCAATGAAAACCTAGTCGAACTTTGGGTTGTTGCCGAGACGATCTTAAATTATAATGGAGCAATAAAGTCACAGAGGATCGGGTCGACAACAAGCTTAAGTATTACCCCAAATCAAAACCAGACATGTGAGCCCACGATCTTGGCGATTCACCATCCAGCTATGGACCAATGTGCTGTCGGTTCGAGCCGGTCTCTCACCCTGGCCGGGCGACTGCTGTGCCGCATTAGCCCCTGTCCTCGTAGGCTTTAGCCCCGAAGAAATGGACCAGGCTAGACTGAGTTGGGTAGCATACACGGCTTCAGGGCACACGGCCAAGGAAAAGTCGATGACATAGAGCCTGTGATCGCCAACGAAAATGTGCAAAAGAAATGTCATCGCCCTATGCGGTTGGTCACCCGCACACGGCCCGCTTCACTCGTGGGGCGGGCGCAAAGCTGCGCCTCTCAAACGACCAGTTGAATCGGAAGCGACTCCAAAAATGCAGGCAGCAGTCAGTTACTACTCGGAAAACATCAGTTGTGAAAGTGACTGCCTGACAGGATCCCATGATGTTGAAATAACGTTGTGGTTCTAAGGAGTCGGGTCCTGAGCCACGAGCGCATGATTCGCCTTCGATTGTAACTTGGGCTGCCACGTTGCCAGGGTTAGCTCGTAAGACAGCCTTTGCGTTCGGTGGCCAGAAGGCCCCATATCCCAAGCGTACCAGTCGTACCTGGATCTAGGTGACTGATGAGGCTCCCTGCGTTGCTCTCGAGTCCACCTCACCCACCCTTCTCAAAACCCTGTCTTCAGGCTTCCTCAACTGGCGGAGAGCCCACAGAAGCCTTCAAGCATCTCGAAATAAATTGCTGAAATCTATCTTAGTCTTAAATTTGAAATCCAAACGCCCTGTGAACTGGAAAGCTGAGGGCTGTGGGCCAGTTCTTCGTTGCAATAGATCCTTCGCCGCCTTGGGGAGTCATCTTCGATGCATTTCAGACATATCGTTGATATCAGCGAGCTACTTGTTCCAGAAGCTACTTGCATCTATTCCAGAACTGATAATGGATGGGCTCGGAAATTCCAAGGCACCACAGCTGAACCCTTTCATTAGCAGACACAGAGGCATTTCAGTTCGAGGACACTCCAGGGCTTAACAACACCACAGGAAAGGTAGTGAGACGAATCCGAGGAACTTTTGAAAGAAATTTGCTCTCCGGTTGAATACTTCTAGCTAACCTAGCAGAGACCTACAGAGTACCTATTTAGTCTAATACCTACTCTTCTAATTTCAAAAGTTATACTTCTTTACCTGATTTCTCTACTTTTATTCGACATCATCTGGTATTATTATTGTTGTTATTCCCGTCATCGTCGTCGTCGTCGTCGTCGTCGTCTTTGCCCACCAACCGCCTGAATAGATACAAGTAGTCGCCCGTAGAGCAAAACTCACTCAGGAGCGCTCGCGCTCTGACTCTACAAGTGGGCGCAGCGTAGAGACCTGGGGTAACGATTAGAATTCAGTCTCTAGCGTACCTGAAAATCGAACATCGTTAAGTACGTGTACCACTTGCCGGAGTTGGAAAGCAATAATAGCCCGTGGTGGACTTGCCAATGGTGTTTGATACGATCCACGAATGAGAACCTTTGTCAATTTAACCAACATACGCAAATTGAGACAAGTTGGGTAAACTCATTTCAAGGTTGTCTAATTGTATTTGGGAGGTCTCGGGACAAAAGGACCGAAAGTTGCAGAAATGACGAACATGTATCGCCATTGATAGCAACTCTCCCAACGGGCTATTTTGATAAATTCATCCCGTCACGATAACAAGTCGAAGCGTGCGAGTTAGATGTTTACGCTTGCAACTTTGAAGTTGGTGTCCCTGAAGGGCTGCATTGCTTGCTAACTTGGTCTGTATTAAATCAGCAACGCTGTCTAAACACAGCAACCGCCGTGCCGAAAGTGCCGAATGGTAGTCATACATGCAGTTAGTCAAGACGCACAATACTACTGTTACCTATCGCAACTTAGCGGCGAGAATTGACTGGACATGATTTCTATGCATTCAGCTCTTGATCTACGCGATGCAACCTTCTCGCCATGTCTTGCAGCTCTCTGCATTCAAGCCCACGATGGAAATAGTACTTCCGCAACCGACCTTCGATCGCTGCAAGTTTCCTTGGCTTAGTGTCAACGGTTACATCCAATGAGACCATCATCGGCACACAATTCCAGGCAGATCCTCAAAAGCGGGCAAAAGCTTGCTGGGTGCCGCGCCAATTGAGTCGTGGCCCGCGTCTACCCCGACATGCGGGGGACACCAGTCAGGGGTCAGCCTGCATAAGCCCTGGATTAACATGCCATCAGTAATTGACTGCAACCTCACCTCCGCTACCGAGGATGCGCACCAGTAGTGGACGAGTCTGAACGGTGGCAGTGGACCGCTGAGCATCACGAGATCCGCTCTATTGAGCCAAGCTAAGTTCGCCTTCGTATTCCCCACGGGGAACGATAAAGACCGCTAAGATTACCCGTCATGCCCATCTAGTATAATAAGCAGGGATGTCCACGTTATTTCGACGGGCTTTCCGTGATGTTATTAGGCTCGACAAATCTTCAAGACAACTCCCTTGGTTTCTGATCATCTTTGGCTTCAGCGTCTACCGCTGGCAAGATGTGGTTCAACGCGCAAACCTGCCAGGGTCTGGCAGCCCTCGCGCTCTCCCTGCTGTCCGCAAGGACGAATGCTCAGGCAGTGCCTCCTGTGAACCAGGAGAAGGGAGTCTCGGCTTGGGCCTTTGACATGAGCGAAGTCACTCTCAGCAGCGGGCGCCTCTTCGACAACCAAGCCCGTACCCTCACCTACCTGAAATGGGTCGATGTTGAGCGTCTCCTTTACAACTTCCGCAAGAACCATGGTCTGTCTACGAACAACGCGCAAACCAACGGCGGTTGGGATGCCCCCGACTTTCCTTTCCGGACGCACTTCCAGGGCCACTTCCTCAACGCCTGGGCTTTCTGCTACGCTCAGCTGCGCGACACCGAGTGCAAGGACCGGGCGACGTACTTTGCGGCCGAACTCAAGAAGTGCCAGGCAAACAATGCAAACGTCGGCTTCAACACTGGCTACCTCTCCGGATTCCCCGAATCTGAGATTACTGCTGTCGAGGACCGCAGCTTGTCCAACGGCAACGTCCCATACTATGCCATCCACAAGACCATGGCCGGCCTTCTCGATGTCTGGCGCCACATTGGTGACAGCAATGCTCGCGACGTGCTTCTGGAAATGGCTGCCTGGGTCGATCTCCGCACGGGGAAGCTCACGTACGCTCAGATGCAGAACATGATGAGCACCGAGTTTGGTGGCATGAACGAAGTTATGGCGGACATCTTCCATCAGACAGGTGACCAACGGTGGCTTACAGTTGCTCAGCGTTTCGATCACGCGGCCATCTTTGACCCTCTTGCGTCCAACCAAGATTCCTTGAATGGATTGCACGCGAACACGCAGGTCCCCAAATGGATTGGTGCTTCTCGTGAGTACAAGGCCACTGGAACAAGCCGCTACCAAGACATCGCCCGCAACGCATGGAACATCACCGTCAGCGCCCACTCCTACGCCATTGGAGGGAACAGCCAGGCGGAGCACTTCAGACTTCCCAATGCCATTGCAGGATTCCTGAACTCAGATACCTGCGAGGCTTGTAACACTTACAACATGCTCAAACTGACGAGAGAGTTGTGGTTGACCAACCCGAGCGCTACTCACTACTTTGACTTCTACGAGAGAGCTCTCCTAAACCACCTTCTTGGCCAGCAGGACCCCTCGGATAGTCACGGCCACATCACGTACTTCACTCCATTGAACCCTGGCGGCCGTCGTGGTGTCGGCCCTGCTTGGGGCGGCGGTACTTGGAGTACCGACTACGACTCCTTCTGGTGTTGCCAGGGCACCGGTCTTGAGACCAACACGAAGCTGATGGACTCCATCTACTTCTACGACAACTCCGCTCTCTACGTCAACCTGTTCGTCCCGTCGGTGCTTCGCTGGACTCAACGAGGTGTTACCGTCACCCAGACAACTGACTTCCCCCGTGGTGACACCACTACTCTCAAAGTCTCTGGTTCTGGACAGTGGACCCTTAGAGTCCGCATTCCGTCGTGGACTTCAGGCGCCCAGGTCACCGTCAATGGACAAGCTGTCACTGCGACGTCCGGCGCATATGCTGCGATTGATCGCACTTGGGCTGACGGCGACACCGTTGTCGTCACGTTGCCAATGAAGCTGCAGACTATCGCCGCCAATGACGACCCCAGCATTGCGGCACTGGCGTTCGGCCCTGTCATCTTGAGCGGTAACTACGGTAGCGACACGCTTTCTGCTGTGCCGACTTTGGATTTGGCCTCGGTCAAGAGAAGCGATACGACTGGTCTCACTTTCACTGCAGCTGCAGATGGAAAGACAGTAGACCTTGGCCCGTTCTACGATGCCCAGGGATTTAACTACAATGTCTACTGGTCTGTCAGTGGCAATCTGCCGGCCTAGAGCAAAGTTCAGTGCAATCTCCGGGAGGGCACGCATGTAAGAAAGAGCGTTTCGAGGGATTTCATGTAAATACTTCTTTTCACAGTGTGCACGTACGTATTTACAGTCAACCGAGACTAAATACATATTAAGTGGTTGATACCAAGCTTGGGCTACCTGCTTCCACCCTCAGATGTGCAAATCTTGACCATCCCTAGCGGCCTTAACACGCACACACTGCGCCATCACCCGCAGATAGCGGTCGTACGCGTCGGTCCCGATGACAAAAGGATGCTCGCCTCCTGCAGGTCTATGATCAAGGAGATCAAAACTGTACAGAGACCGGTCCTGCGTCTGATGATTTGCTACAAGCGTGTCAACACCCGCCTCCGTAGCCAAGTCCGCGAAGCGATTGAACGATTTGATCTGATTTTCCTTGTCTGTGGCAGTGCTTGGGATACCGCCTCCACCGTAGAGACCAGCCGTGTGCTCGACGCCATTGTCGTATAGCTTGAATATGGAGGAAAGGGTGCCAGGGGTATGGCCTGGTGTAACGTAGAATTTGATTGACACGTTGCCGAAGGTGAGCTCGTCCCCTTCAGCAATAATTTTATCCTCGACAGGCCCGTCATCCAGTTTGCTCAAGGTCTCCCAAGCCGGGGCTGACGCATATGTGGACGGATTGTATGTGTCTTGGAGGTACCGGGCCCCACCATAGTGATCGAAATGCTCATGGGTAATGATGAGATGCTTGATGTCGCTGCCAGAGAAGCCGAGGGCCTCCAGGCCAGGGACAAGAATCTTCTCAGCCTCTTCCGCGTTGTCCAAAGCGTCAAAGACCACCAGCCCATCTCCCGTGTCATAGGCCCATGCCGAGACGGCGCTCTGCCCAACGAAGTAGAAACGATCAAAGACCTCGCGAGGTTGGATGAAACCAGGAGTCTGAGCTGCGTTGGAAAGGACGGGGTAGACTTGACCGAGGATACATCGATGGCCGTAGTGAGCAGACAGGTCTGGACCGGCAAGAGTACGGGCTTCGGCTAACCATTTTGTAACGTTTTCCTTCTGTTCGTTGGGGAAAGTTGTGACATTGAATAGATCTGAGAGGTCAGCCTGCACGTGGCTGGCGGAGAGAACCAAGGCGCCAAATTGGAACAGAAAGCTTGGTCTCATATTTGCGGTGGACAATGATATTGCGAGCTCACGTGCAGCGTCTGAATATTCCCAAAAAAACAAGTCTAGAAACCTGTATTTATACTAAAGTCCCTCCCAAGCCATTTTGGTGCGTGATCCTCCGGCAAGATGAGCAAGTCTTGGCTGCGGGGTGACTTGCCGACCCATCGGAGCCAACATTTCTCTTAATGGATTGTGAGGTTACACGCAACCCGAAATGCCCCAACCTAAGTGGAAGGTCACAACCAAATTGGGATCCTTCACGATGATCCGAGTGACTGTTTGCGAGCAGGATAAAAATCCGGGGAACGGAAAAGTGGATTGTGCGGAGAGAATGAGGGGAAGAACTGGCCGGCATTACCAAGCGGGAAGGGTTCCAGTCGACCATGTTCAATTGCCAGTTCGGGTGAAGATGCCCGATGATTGTAAGTGATGAATTTGCGGAGTTGAATTTGCCCGCATGCATCGTTGACCGCCGTTCGGTTTATGCATGTCCGTTAGTTTACCGAGGATCTGGATGAAAGGCTCCTCTTTGCGGCCTCCCAGCCTTTTTCATCTCCAGCGTACGGATACCTCCCGGTAAGAGGCTTGACAAATCACTGGAACCAGCGAATCAAAGGCTAAAGCATCATGTCAATTCCAGAAACCCACAAAGTCCTAACATGGTTTATGACTAAGTCGCAAAGAGTCTCTCTATCCACGTGGTATCACACTCTACTTCTTCTCTAACTCCGACTCTTGGGTCTATCGCTCGCTCACCCCATCTACAGCTTCAGTCCCATCTTGCGAATCTCACCTCCATACCAAGCCTACGAAGTTGTGTTAGCTCGTTGCAATATTCCAGTCTGATGCGTAACGAGATGGAGAACTTACCGACTCAGCGCCAGCGCCGATGGCCTTAATTCCGAGCTTAGTAGCAATCCAAGGTGCCTCAATCTTTCTCGCGTACAGCTTGGCGTCTTCATCTTTCACATCAGCAGCCAAGATGGTGTTCTTGGGCAACAAAGGGTTGAGGACTGCCGGTCTTCCAACGCCAATGATGTCACAGGCTTTGCTGGAGAGAGCAGCATCCATACCCTGACGAGTTCGGAAGCCACCAGTGACCATCAGAGGAACATCTGGGAAGTCGTTGCGGATGGCCTTGGCGAACTCGAGGAAGAAGGCCTCGCGAGCCTTCGTGCGCTCGGACTTCTTCTCATCGGCAACACCAGTAGACATCTGATTCCAATGTAAGTGATCATGCCTCTCGGTTCTAGTCAGTGTCGGCAACTTACCAAAGGATCTTCATAGGTGCCACCGCTAATCTCGAGGAAGTCAACGCCAGCGTCCGTGATCAGCTTTAACTGCTCAATGCACCCAGCAAGCTCGGCTTGGGACTGGTGGTCAACCGAGTTGAACTTGATGCCGACACAGAACTCCTTCGGGACTGCGGCGCGAATAGCGCGGATGACCTCGACAACAATCTTGGCGCGTCCAGCGTATGAGCCGCCATACTCATCAGTGCGCTGGTTGATCTTCTCTGACATGAACTGAGCCAGGAGGTAGCCATGGGCGGCGTGAATCTCAACACCCGCGAAACCTGCGTCGGAAGCGAGCTTGGCCGTGAGCGCGAAGCGGCGGACCACGTCCTTGATGTCATCAATGGTCATCTCACGCGGTGTGCCGAAGAGGAGCGAGTTGATCAGACGCGGGATGAAACCATCTCCCAGGTTCAGCGGCACCGGGCTGGGGCACAATGCCTTCTCGCGGAAACCACGCTTGCCAGCACCCAGGGGCGATTGACGGCCAGGGTGGTTGATCTGTACAATGGTCGGGGTACCGTTGCGGTTGCACGCGGCAGCCCAGGACTTCCATGCTGACAGCATACGCTCGTATGGAATCGTTTCGTTGTAAGCGACATCCGAAGGTGAGCCCAGGTACTTGATATCGACCTGCACGTTGCCTGTTGTTGGTGAGCAAGTTAAGAGCTTCAATGATGACTAATGAATGTACATACCAGTCATGACGAGACCCCATTCGCCCTCTGCCCATGTTGAATATGCGGTCTGCATCGCTTCGACTGGCAAACCGTCCTTGTCGGCCCAATTCTCAGCCATCGCGGCCTTCGAGAGGCGGTTCGGCAGAGTGAGGCCGCATTTTAGCGTCAGAGGCTTCGCGATAGCAGTGTTTGACATATTGGTGTCTAAGGTTGTGTTTCTCTGAGATCTTTTGCGTAACGTCGCAATGGAAACTCGGAAAGGAATCTTTGTCCCCTTTATCGAAAGCGAAACGCTGTTATTTGATGCTTAACGAAGTGCTGGCTGTTTCAATCTGCTCAACTGAAAAAATTCTCTTTATCTATCTTCACTTGATTGTCACCATCGCACGGCCTCGGCCCACAAAAGGGGACTCGATCCCAGTAGAAACGGGGTGGAAAGTCGGATTACAAAGACAGAACATTATCGCATCATGGCACGGCGAAACGGGAGGCTCCACAACCCGACGGAGAAGACTGCCCGTGAACTGTGCTTTGTGAAACTTGTGCCGAGGTATCGCTAATCACGAATGACGCCAGCTTTAAGTCAGTTAGACTGAGTGGTGCGGAGGAATAATCCCCCCGATTCAACCCAGCGGAGCAGCGCAGCGGACTTGAAAAGGACGGGGGAGCTTGGGGCAAGTAGAAACTCCGCACTGCTCGGACTTAGGTGGATGGACCGACTCATGAAAGTGGACTGTGAAATTTCGATGGATTAAATTGAAAGAGACTCCCGCAAATACCAGAAAGCACTGTCCGCTCCATGCCGAAGAAGCGGATCATCGGAGCCAAGTCAACCGGTGGATTACGCCCCGGATGTCTTGCCGCAGGATCCCGTTTCCGTGCCGCTCGAATGCCGGCTGACTGTCAGCACTCTGAAAAGACAACGGCGGGCCGTTTCTCGGAGACCGCCTACTTTTCCTGCGTTATGCTGATTGCTTTTCCTGTGTGACTATTCTACCTTATCGTTGTGCTTCTATCATCCTCGTCGCTTCTATTGTCGTTATCGCTTCAATTATTGTCTTGCTTCAATTGTGGTCTCGGACAGGAGTCTACACAGGAATAGCCACGTAGACACAGGGAAAATAGGCGGTCTCGTTTCTCGGTGGAGCTTGAAGGGGGTAGTACAGAGTAGTCTGTGGAACTTTCTCCAAGCTTTCTAACTGGATCAATCATTTTATTCTCTATGGACATGTCCAGCGCTCCCATGCATTTCAGAGGCTTCTAGCCCTTTCTTCAACACACGCTACGACGATCGGATCCTCGACACTGTTGCCATTTCAAGCAGCGAGCCACATCCTAATGCACACCATCCACGGAACGACCCGAAGCCATTGCACACATAGCAATAACGTCATTTCCATCTGATTTATTTGCTGACGACCGAATTCGAAACTACTTTTCCGACCAGTCGCTGATACGCACATGCCACAAACATTGCTCCCCTCTTCCGTGCACATGAAAGAAAGAACTCTTTCAAGACGTATTACTTAGGCGACGAGTTGAGGAAGTGGCATACGGCACATGCCAGTCATCAATCGTAAACCTACCCTGAGGTTCAAACCTGCTTTTCCTTCGGCTTCATTACGGACGTGAGCAGAATGGTGATCAGCCGACATCCTGCTGATGCAGAAATCCTGCCAGACTAGATGGACGTCCTCCTTGGCACTCACGTCTGACCCACGTTGTGTACTACATCGCTTGGCCATCATGGGAGCGCGTGGAGGATGGAATGCAGCCCCAGTTTCCCCAGACCACCGTTCTTCGGCTCTTACGTCCTGCCCCACGCAGAACTTCGTCAGCTTCCCCGGACTCCGTCCTCTTAGCGGTTTGCAACCCCGATGTCCCCAAGCCCGATAATCGGGCCGTTGCGGGTCTCCTTAAGGTCGCGCTCTGTAAGGCCCGGCCATCGCTTCTGCGGGGATGCCGCCCTGGCCCCTGCTCATTTCCCAGTCGTTCACCATCATATGCCGCCCGCGTGATTTTGGCAGCATGAGTCAGGGAAGGTCAGCATCGGTAAAAGTCGCAAGGGTGCCAGACATCACCATGGCCTAAAATCGCTATACATCAAGCCGGCGAAGCACCGAAAAAGAACGGCCAAGATACCTGATCCGGAAGATGGACCGGTTTGCTGTCAACTTGAAGCATTGTCCGACACTTGAAAGGAGGGGAATGAGGAGCCGATGATTGACCGATCGTCAGGTACACCAAACAAGCTTAAAATGTGTTCCTCAGTATGGTCCGTTGGCATCTTCCCCGCAAGTTCTGTAGCCATCGCGTGCCTAGCGTCGACCAAGAGGTTGTTGCCGGAAGCATGTGCTAGCATGTCTCCTCCGGTAAAAGCAAACGATTGGAGGTGTTCCTTGACGGCCGAGAGTCCGGCCGCCTCGCTGCCGACTTCCCCGAGAGAAAAGGGGCAGACTCGGCTTGGGGTTACATTTCCAACCCAACCACATGTTGCCTTTTTCTCAGTTAAAAGCCCCCTCACTCTAAACATCAAGTCCTCCGCATGCGAATATTTGGTGATGCATTGATTCAATACGAAATCTCAAGCGTCATGAGTCTTTTTGGACAGTAAATGATTGAAATATGGTGAAGGGTGCCATCGGCCTCTCCGCTTTTTGACTCGAGGGCCTAGAACAATTCACTGCTCAGCCCTAAAAGGGAGTGGTTTTTTTAAACGCCCCTGTGAGGTCGACAGGGGAATCTTGCCGAAACGCTGTGAAGAATTATCAGGGGCCGCTCGCAATACCACCACACTACCTGTCAAAATCAGACGAACGCCCGTCTGATGACTAGCGCGTCCATATTTGAGAAATGATATGGTCCATAATCCTCCAATGGCCAAAAGAGAGGCAGTTCTTAATGCCTCTTCTGCTCGATTGGGTGTCGGGTACATCGAGAAGGGCCGTTTCCTGGCCCGTGTCATATGCCATCGTCGGCTCTTGAGTGTGGGGTAGCAAGGAGACAACACCATGACAGGGGTTGCGGCGGGCAGGCTTCTCGGCCGCCCATGATGAAAGGCCGCCCGCGGTGCGCCCAGCGTGGCATCGCGGCGGGAACACCGATGAGTATGGCTAGGTTGTTCAGGGGTTGTTCACCAACTCAGTCCCAAATTGCAAGAGTGAGCTCCAAGACGACAACACGTGCTCACGAAGCACCCTGATAGCACCCCATGAGCTCATTTCTATGAAGTATATAAGACATGAAAGCCTCCAGGTAATGTTCCTGAGAAAGAGCACAACAGCAAGCAATTCCAACTTCATTCACTCTTTACTATTCACTCACTTGACTTCATTCACTCATTCAGTAAGTCTATTGGGTTAAAATACCTCTACGCCCATACGTTTTCTTACACATCACAGTCATGGTCTCCAACAAGTTTCTCACGGCCCTTGCCGTCGGTCTCCCAGCCATCCAGGCTGCCGTCCCAGAGATTGCCGGCTTCACCCTCACCTGGTCTGACGACTTCGTCGGAACCGCCAACTCCCTGCCGAACACTGCCAACTGGATTATCGACAATGGCACCAGCTACCCCGGTGGCCCCGCCAACTGGGGTACGGGTGAGATCCAGACCTACACCAGCAACGTCAACAACCTCAAGCTTGACGGAAACGGCGCTCTTGCGATCACCGCCATCAAGGATACCGCCGGTGCCTGGACATCGGCTCGTATCGAGACCCAGCGTGCAAACTTCGTTGCCGCTGCTGGCGGCAAGATGAGAATTCAGGCTAGTCTGAACTTGCCCGTTGTCGGCACCAACGGCATTGGATACTGGCCGGCCTTCTGGACCCTTGGCGCCGCTTACCGCGGAAACTACCAGTAAGTACTCGTTCATTCATCGAGTTCAAGACAACGTGGATTAACAAATATTCCAGGAACTGGCCCTCCATCGGCGAGTTTGACATCCTCGAGAACGTCAACGGTATCAACAAAGTCTGGGGTGTCATGCACTGCGGCACCAGCCCCGGCGGCCCCTGCAAGGAGAAGGATGGTCTTGGTGGAAACCGGGAGTGCCCCGGCACCACCTGCCAGGGCAACTTTCACAAGTACACCCTCGAGGTCGACCGCAGTGCTACTCCCGAGGCTGTTAGGTGGTTCGTCGACGACACTTTGTTCTGGCAGGTCACTTCGGATGACCTCCCTGCCGACGTCTGGACCCAAGCTGTTCACGAGCCCCATTTCATTCTTATGAACCTTGCCATCGGCGGCGAGTTCCCCAACAACAACTACGGCAGCACCACTCCCCTGGCTACCACTGTCTCTGGCGCCAGCTTCCAAGCCGAGTACATCGCGGTTTACAATTCCTGAGCTGGGATATGATGTTCATGGGCGACCACGGCGACGTTTCCTTTCTTCATGGGTGATGATTTCTTTTACATAGAGCTTGCGATTTCCTTACATGTTCTCACTTTTCAACTTGCTTGTACATATGATTTCTTACGATGTGGCACGACGGCCGGGGTCTTGTTTCAAGTTTTACGGCAACGGCGGGATCAATAAAAGCATATGAATACCACGGATGCTTTCGGCGATCTTCAGTCAAGTGTGATGACAAAGAGGTTGCTGGAATTGCTAAACAGTTTCCTCTGAGTGGCCTCTCATTATCTGGAGTTTGCGATCACGAAGCCCATCAGTCCGTTCCTGGCGCCATGCAACCCCGGCTGCATGGTGCTGGCTTGGTGAGTAGCATCAATACCCACAAACCACCCCGAATAGGAAGGTAAATCGACATTTTGCCAATCATCAACGAATCGATCGCAGTAACGGCGCTGGGCATTTCAAGGAAGTCCTCGTCAAGCTGGTCGATACGAGCTTGGCAACCTTCCTCGTATCATCCAACATGCATCCTGCTGACCGACAACATGGCCATCTAGTATAGGATTCGCATACCTACCTAGTATTATATAAACCTCCCTGAATATCTCGTTCTTTCAAATGGTTGAACAATTGGAAATTGCTCCAATGGTACTGTCGCCATGAGATTCAAGATCTTTTCGTTGCCGGCCGCGGTCGTTGGCCTCTCGCTCGTGTCGACAGTCGCCGCCGCTGACCCCGCTACCACCGTCGCCAATCAACGCTCCAGTTCTTCCGAGTCTTCCGAAGACTCCGCGAATGTGATACCGGGAGCTTATGTTGTGGAATGGGAAACTGATGTGGCGGATGCACCCGGCTTCTATCAAAGTCTTGGGTTGGAGGTCGAGCATCGACTGGATCTCAAATACCAGCTATTCAAAGGTGCATCATTCCGCATCATCAACGGATCAAATGATGTATACAATGGAATCTATGGGATGATAGCAGCACGTCCCGAAGTGAAGTCAATTTGGCCTATCAGAACGATCACAATACCGACAACGAAGCCACTTTATATTGGGAAAAACAGAACGACTACCTCAGGGCAGTTCGTTGGAGTACACAAGCGGCAAGCCGAGGAGCCCGATACGTACACGCCACACGTCATGACGCAGGTTGACAAGCTGAGAGCCGAAGGATATACTGGCAAGGGGATTCGTATCGGAATCGTTGACAGCGGTGTCGATTACACGCATCCAGCTCTTGGGGGCTGCTTCGGAGAAGGATGCATCGTCAGCTACGGTTGGGACCTCACTGGCGACAACTACTTTCCTCCGAATAGCCCTGAACCTGATGCGGATCCTTATGACGGGTGCGACGGCCACGGAACTCATGTGGCTGGTATCATCGCAGCTCAGGCCAATGAGTTGGGCTTCACTGGAGCAGCTCCCGACGTCACTATTGGAGCTTACCGAGCTTGGGGATGTAACAGTCTGACAACAAATGATATCCTGCTCGATGCTTTTAATGCTGCTTTCGAGGACGGGGGCGATATCATATCCTGCTCGGCGGGGCAGTATACTGGGTGGGCAAACGATCCTTGGGGCATAGCTGCATCGCGAATTGCAGCACAAGGTGTGTCCGTGATTGTGGCCCCGGGCAACTCTGGCAGATCTGGCATGTTTCTATCGGCGTCACCAGCAACCGGCGTCAATGTAACAGCTGCAGGGTCTGTTGACAATACCATAACGCCTCTCTTGCTCACTGCTGGTTCCTATACGGTGGATAACGCAACAGGAATCACAGAGCCGTTTGGTTTCATCAGCGGTGGGCCGAAGTTCGCGGAAAACATCACCTTGCCGCTTTGGTCTGTGAGCAACAGATCTGAATCTGCGAACGATGCTTGCAGTCCTTTGCCGGATAGCACACCTGATCTCTCGTCAAAGATTGTTCTTCTTCGGGTGGCGGACACCTCGGAATGTTACTCATCTACACAAGCCACCAACGTCGCTGCCAAAGGAGGTAGGTATCTATTGTTCTATAGTCAAAGCAACGACACAGAAAACTTCGTCGCGCAGCATACATTCAGCATCCGGAATACAGGCGGGGACGCAGTGATTTACAAACTTGGACACACCAAAGCTGCTACAGCCTACACCTTCGCCTCGGGCTCAAAATCTGCCTCTCAGTTTCCGAATCCGACCGTCGATGACTGGGCCGAACTCTCCTTTTCATCAGAGTAAGTAGAGGTCAGCTGCGAAGAACTACCCCACAAATCTGACATGAGACATAGTGCAATAAGTTTGTCGGCAGGCTCGTCCGCAGAAGTGACCGTCACAGTAGTTCCGCCACGAAATGTGAATGAGACGCAATTGCCCGTATATAGCGGCCTAGTTACGATCGAAGCCGATAACGGAGAGACGCACAACATCCCATACGTTGGTGTTGCCGGTAGCATGAAAGAAACCCCGGTGTTCCTGGAAGGCCCTGAGCATGGAACCTTTCTCGGCTACTTCAACAATCCCACCGCTCCGAACACCACGTTCACAATACCCCGCCCTGGCACGACGCCGCCGGGAAATGTGGAATATCCGAGCATCCAAGCAAGTTTGCTTTTTGGAACGCAGATGGCTCGAGCCGATGTGGTGGCTCTATCGGAGACGGGGCTTCCCACAACGGTATTTTTCGACATCGAGAGCGTTGGTTTTCTTTCAGGCTTTCCGGAACCTTGGGTTGTGAGGAGAAACTACAGGCTCGGGTTTACGGGAGAGCTCGCGGATGGGACGGTTGTGCCTGAGGGAACCTATAAGATCGTTTTCAGTGGCCTCCGGGTTTTTGGCGACCTCGGAAAGCGTGAAGACTGGGATTTTGCGGAAACAGTACATTTCGTCATCCGATATATCGAATAGAGAAAATTGTCCGACAGTCTGATGGTGCTGCTGGAGAAGTTAAGCAAGATCGGCGGATGTGCAGCAATACAACTATTGATTACAAACAAACATCTGGTCTAGGAATTTGGCTCTAGACTGAACGTGTAGAACTTATAATTACATTAGTCCGAAATCAGTATGCTTGGAGTCTGATTACATGCTCTTCGTTGAATACTCGGGTGGGGCAATCGACCGCTGTTTCCCGCAGTCCGGCCGACGCCATCTTTCGTCTCATGCATGCCTCACCCACAGGTCCAATCAAATGCTCATGTTTGGAGTAGTGCGAACTATGTGGTAAACTATAGAGACGGTAATGCCGGGCAAGACCGTGACCGTCTGAACTATTTGAAGCAGACACCCTGCCTCGGGGGACTCGGTCAAGAAGCAGTGACTCAAATGAGAATTTCTCGATCGGCTTCGCAACCATGGAAGGTATTTCATATCAACTTCTTACTTACGAAACAACCAAAGGCCACAGAGGCGCCGTTCACGTGAATGGCATGGTGTACGATCTCTGCGATGTGGTCTCTACTACGTGTGTCAGCACCCTTGATGCCCTCCAAAATTCTCCAAAATTGGGATCAGATTAGGTCAAGATTGGAGACCTTTGCTCTTGATCCAAATACGGCAAATATCTCATCTCAAGCCCTCAAGAACGTCAATATGTTGGCACCAATTCCGAGTCCGACGACAATTTTCTGTGCGGGAGGCAACTTCACCGATCATCTCGACGAAATGAGCCGCGTTTTGGACGTCTAGCCAGGTCCAAATTTGAAGGAAAGAGGAGAGCCACCTTTTTTCTTTCTCAAGAACACCACAGGAGTTTGCGGGCCAGGATCTGTGACGAAAATAGATTCCCCAGACCTCATGGTAGACTGGGAACTTGAACTCGTCGCGATCATTGGGCGTGTCGCACGTCACGTTTCCCGGGATGAAGCTATGAGATACGTAGCGGGTTTTACTGTCGGAAACGATCTTTCTTTTCGACAAAACATCCAGCGAAAAGAACTTCAACCTGGCGATGCCTTCAAATCTGACTGGTTTCGTCAAAAGTGCTTCGATGGCGCTTGTCCGGTCGGCCCGTGGATGATGCCGACCAACCAGGTCCCGAACATAGAAGACCTGGGGATGAGGCTTTGGGTTGACGATGAACTCATGCAAGACACTAATACCGGGAACATGATTTTCTCTGTCGCCGAGCAAGTTGCAGAGCTCTCTCATCAACTGACCTTGCACCCTGGCGACATGATCATGACTGGAACTGGAGCTGGCGTCGGGCTTGGCCGCGGGAGATTTCTGAAAACTGGAAACACTGTGCGATGCATGATCGAAGGCATAGGAGAATTTAGCCACTATATTGGGTAAGACAACCTTGATTGGTTCTCTTCGAGTACGTCAACTTGAACTAGAGCCTTCTTTCTGAGTTGATAAGCTACTACAGATAAGCAAGATCAAATTGAACAAAATCTTGGCTTAACCGCGCGCGAGACCCTCAAAGCACCACGGTTCCAGTTCGAGTCCCCATCTGCTACAACTTCCTGCTCTCCACCTTCCTCGGCACCAACTCCTGAGAACCGTGCGAGTCTTGCGCCACAGCCTTGGCTGCTTTTCTGTGGACGCATGCCATAAGTGAGTATTCCATTTTGGGTCACTTACGCTCTCGCCTCTACCCAGGATTTTGTAGGATGCCAGAGAAACTACGCGACCACTGCCATCGGGTAGGTCGTCTAACTGATAGACATAGCTTGTAAAGCAGCGGAGGCATTTCCTAGATCTGGTGAGAATGGCTGTTCTGTCCGGCCCGTCCTTCTCCTCGTTCCAAGGATCGATCCGGTGCGTAGTGGGCTCCAAGTGTTGTGGTTTTTGTTCCGGCCAAACCTGAGGGAACTCTTCGGTCCAGCGAACGTGGCCACAGCAATTATTCATAGATCGCAAAATGGGTTTCAAGTTTGGTGCGGCCACACGCTGTTGTTGTTCATCACCGTGACATGGAAGCATGGCAATAACTGTTCGAAGAATGAGCTCACCGTCCCAGATGAGGCACCTCGTAGTGTACCGGATTTGCGCATGGCCGACTCGGTAATC